GTGGTGGTAGTGATGGCGCTTGTGGAGGTGGTGATAGTGACAGCATGGTGGTGGTGGGTGTGGATGTGGAGGTTTTGAAGGAGGTGGTGGTTGTGGTGGTGGTGGTGGAGGTGAAGGTGGAGTTGGTGGTGGTGGTTGTGGTGGTAGTGGTGGTGGTGGAGTTGGTGGTGGTGGAGTTGGATGTGGAAGTGGAGGTGGTGTTATTTTTTAAAATGAATGATGGTATTTTGGGAATTAAAAAAATTCATTAAAGGTTCATCTCTGCTTCTTTTGAAAGCAGCTTTGAAAAGCAACCCATAGCCTGCTTTTAAAAGTTGTTGTTAAAAGGTCACTGCTTTTAAAATAATCGAGATATTTTATTTTAACCAAACACCTGAAACTGCTTAACTTTAAAGTGAAGCAGGTTTTTGGCCAAAAAAAGCAATCCCAAACGGGGCCTAAGAACAATAATTTTTTTTAGTACAAGCGATTGAGGGAGGGGGGCTTACACAAATATTCATTGGGTACTAGAGGTTTCGAATTTCTGCCCATATATGTGAAAATGAAAGAGCTCAACCAACTGGGCTATACCCAACTGGCGATAAGAATATATATATATATTTTTTCCAACATAACAAATTTCGGTTCATGTAACACAATATCTGCTCCAACAAAGCGAAAACTAAATGTCACTAAACTAAATTATTACTTTTGAAGAAAACTTAGTAGATGAACGGGACATTTAACATCTTCTGTTATACGATAAAACCAAGATCAGTTTCTAATAAAATTATGAATGCCATTGAAAAGGTCAACTTTTGCCACATGTCTAGAATATTGTTGGATTTGGAACAAAATTAGAATTTTTAGAAGAGTGATTGATTGAAATCATGGCCTCCAACTAACCCTTGATTAGCAACATACCAACACCACCACCCATGTTTGAGATGTGCGCACGAAATTCGCGCGTCTTTTCATGAACTTGAAGAAATAATTCCCCTTTATTTCTCTTCCAATTCCAACCAATCTCTTCTTTCTCTTCCTTCATATATTAATTTCTTCATCCAATTCCCATTCCATTTTGTGTGTTTTTAGTGTTTTCTGATTTTCGGGTTTCCTTTTGCTTCAATCAAGGTACGTTAACTTGTTCTTCTCCCATTTCTTTCTTTTTGGTTCCTACAAAATTCCCTCACGCCATATGCAACTCCTTTTCTTTTTGCTTCTACTTCTGGTTTCTAGAGATGGTGGAAGATTTTAGTTGGGATATTTTGTTTTTAATCCATTTGTGTGAAGCAACATGTGTTTTGAAGAATTTTTGGACATGTGTTCTTACTTGGTTTCGATTGTCTTTGAGTTCTTTATTTCCTTTGATGAAAATTAATGTGTTGGTAAGTTTCAAATTTGTCTTTCTTGTATGGGTTTTTGGGTTGCTTGTCTATGGGGATAAGCATGCAATCTTGTCATATAGACCGACCTGACAAGACCTAAGCTAGGTGACAACAAAAACGATCCCCTCTCCCTATCAGCAAAGCATTTGTTTTATACTTTGCGTACTGTTGTTCCAAGTGGATTTCGTTATGCATTATTAGGTGAGCACGGTTTAGGTCGGTCAATTTTTTTGCCCGAAACCTCCCACCGTGTCAATTATATTGGTAAGCCATCTTCTAAAATCATCGTATGACTAAATAACTTGGGTTCAAATACACCGTCTTGACTAAATAACTAGTCCATATATGAAATTTAGTAATGAAATTATTTATGATTTCTAACTAACATGACTATACATGTACCATATACAGAGAACATGCGGTGCCTTTAACAACACAAAAGAAGCAAAAGAAAGGAAAACATGTTATTTGGTTCATAAGAAAAGAGTAGGGACCTAAGAAAAATACAGAGACAAAACAAGAATGGTATAATCTAAGTATTTCTCCCTCTTATGAATGGGAAATGGGATCATGGTACCCATCTGAATTTAGCCCTATTGGTATCCTTTTCATATGGGTCCTGCAGCATAATCAAAGCCCTCCCCATAAAGGTCCAGTCCTTAGCCTGAGCTACATTTTTACCATGTGAATCAGAACAATAAATAACATTAGCATGCAATTGGGATGCTTGCCCCCTAGGCCCACTTCCTATCAATTTCAATACATGATTAGTATATAGGCACCTGTTTTTTGGCCGAATTGGTGTAAGTATTAACTAACTCTGGTATTAATGATATTTCTCTTTTCAATATTAGAAGGAAAAGGAAGATAGCTCACGGCAAGGAATATTGAAGCTAATCTTCTCTTGTCAAAATCTCATTTATTATGCTATTAAATCGTCAATTTAAGTTATTTATTAAAATAAAATTATTTGAATGTGTCGTCTTTATTGACAATTTAGATAAACACGTTCACCATGAATTGAGATGTTATGTTTGTTAGGATAGTAGATGAACATGCCTTAAATTTATCACATTGATCAATTAGAACTTTTTTCTAACTTATGATTTCTTTAGAAAATATGCAGGGAGGTAGCAGCATTTGAAATATCTCAGCTGATCAGCCATCAATCAATCCAAGCAGTACATATATGGCAACAAAAGCTAAAGATAGCACTACTTCAGGGAAGGAGCTGAAGAAGAGCACATCATCTTTAAACTCCCTCACAAACCACACCAAAAGAGTCACCAAGTCTTCATCCTCTGCAGGCACTGAGAAAGCAACCTCTTCAACCTCTTCAACCTCAACAACAAAGCAAGTCCCAAACTATCTGAGGCCTACTTTGAGTGCCTCAAGACATGAAAATTCTTCCAAGTCATCATTAGCTGGGAGCAAGAAACATGGCTCTGAAGACTCTGCATCATCTCAAAAGCCTACACTGAGTAGAAGAAGATCTTTTGACAAGCCACCATCACCGTCAAGACTACGCAAGTCACTGATATCACCAGGAAGGGACGCATCGCTACGATCTTCATCGTTTACAGCGAAAAGCTCCAATGTCCCAAAACCCAGTATAGATAGGTCTAATTCGAAGACGGCTAGAGCCGGAAAGCCACAGCTTTTGTATGCAAAGAGTGTGAAGAAGAGCAGTACAAGTGGTTCAGCCAAGAAGGAAAGTACAGTTTCAACAAGACCTCCAAAGAGTGAGGACATAACACAAACACTCGATCTTGAAGCCGATCTAGAGGCTATAGAGTCTTTGGATCATCAAGAGGTTGAAGAGGTAGGTATGATTGAGAGTGAGGAACATGAAAAGGTGGTTCTTCCAGACCCAAAAGTTGAAGAGAAGGAGCAAGTTGATGATCATGGTGCTGCTGTAGAAGCTGAAGCTAATGGCGGCGAGGATGAGAAGCTCAAGCCTAGTGACAGTTCTACTGTTAATGCAGAGGAATTGCAGGAAACTGTGGAGGAAAGAAATGAAGAAAGTGGAAATGCATTGGTCCAAGAAGAGAAGCCTGCAGATAATGAACAACATCAAGGGGAAGATAATCAGAACAAATTATATGAAAGCAGTGAGGCTCAACCAGAAGAGGGTTTGGCAAGTGAGGAAACAACAGTTGAGGTGAAAGAAGATAAAGGAAAAGAGATAAGTGATGAAGAAGATGGTGTTGCAGTGGAGGAAAGCAAGAATGTTGAGGACATGGCCTTGGATGAGAAGGAAGGGATTGCATTGAAGGAAGGGGAAGAAAAAGCTGATGGGGAAATTGACGAAGCAAAGCCTGCAGAGGCTGCTGAGGCAGCTGAGGCAGCTGAGGGAGCAGAGGAAACAGCGAAGCCAAGCCAAACAAGCGAGGGATCACAAGGAGGGAAAAAGGACTCTGCTCCTGCATACAATGATGTGATTGAGGAGACTGCAAGCAAGTTGCTGGAGAAAAGGAAGAACAAGGTGAAAGCATTGGTTGGGGCATTTGAGACTGTGATAGATTATGAATCAGGATCCAAATGAACCCATTTACAATATGATTGTAAAATCTGTACTCTCTGTATATTGACTAATGTGGAGGATTAAAAGATTAAAAGAAAGAAAAAAATTGAATTGGAGAGAAATGCTGACAAATCTTTCTATTAGCATTGGCATTTAGATTTAGAGGGTGTCATTGAATTT